TAGTAAAAAATAAATAAATCTTATTGTCTGAAGGTACAAGGCTTAGAGCTTTAATATTTGTTAAATTATATCATCTAAAGGTACTCTACAAATGTTATTCAAATTTTGCCTCTTGTGTCAAAATTAGCCCCGCCCCCAGTGGCCATAGGTTTTCCATATATGTATATAGTAAAAACTTTAAAAATCATCTTCTGTAAATTGACAAAGGCTAGAGGTTAGATATTTTGCATGAATCATTGTGTAGTGAACCTCTAACAAGATTGTTCAAATTATAGCCCTGGGGTCAAAATTGGTTCTGCCTCGGGGGTCATTGATTTTCATTATGTACATATAGTAAAAAAAATAAAAATTATTTTTTTCTGAAGGTATAAGGCATAGAGCTTTAACGTTTGCTATATAATATCATCTATAGGTCCTCTACCAAAGTTGTGCAAAATTTTCCCCTGGTGTCAAAATTGGCCCTGCCCGGGGGCAGTGATTCTCATTATGTACACATAGTAAAAACAGAAAATAAAACAAATGTTTTCTGAATGGGAGAAAGCTATAGCATAGATATTTGACTTGAAATGTTGTTTGGTGGACCTGTATCAAAATTGTTTTGAATTAAACCCTTGGGTCAAAATTATGCCTTGCCCAAGGGGACAGTGACCTACTTTCTTGTCCTTTGATGTACAGCAATGACATTTTGACAATGTGCACAGTTTTAGTTGTAAAATTGAACTTTGATATCAGGTGACCTAGATTTTGATAATGTGACCTACTTTCTTGTCCTTTGATGTACAGCTCTGAAATTTGAACCATGCGGTGGCATAGCATTTTTCTCAAATGCAATCTTGTTTCAGTCAAGCATTTGCAATATATAGTCAATTCAACTGAACTTGTAAAATGAAAAAAAAAGGGAGCATTAAATGTCAGCTTGTATAAAAACTAGACATCTTTTCTTTGCAGATATTAGAGACATATTGTTTTTATCTTTGTTTTTTTCAATTAATTAAACTGTAACCATCATATCTTCATGGTATAACTTAGCAAGAACTTCTATACTTGATTACAAAGCCTAAGCACTTCTTTTGACTAATTAATATGTGACAAAAGAAAATTGTAGCATTAATTTATTACGTTATTTTTAGAAGCAGATTTTGGAACTAAACGCGTTGTGTTTTATGAACATAACACATGTATACTAATTATGTTTCGGCTGTTTCAGATGTCATTTTCAAAACAATCTTTTTTTTATAATTCTGGTGCCTTGGTAACATCGGCTTTTCTTATAATTGATGTTGTCACTTAAACTAAAAAATTAAAAATAAATAAAGATTTTAAAAGTCCTGGTTCACAAGACTGTGAAGTTATAGTATTTTTTCCTATTTATACTGTTGAAAGAAGCACTAGCATTTCTCCAGAACATGTGTTAAAAAAGGTCCACTTCAAATTGCTTTACGATTTGTTGAGTGATAATAGCAGTGTAACATAGCATTTCCCAGTCAAAATGCTTTTAGAAAATTAATTATAAAAAACATTAATAATTTCAATATTCATAAATAACTTACATTTTTAATTATCATTAAAAGAATTTCATTGTTGTATAAATATTTTGATAAAAATTACTTTTAGATTCTTAACTGATAAATTTAACAACTCTAATATAAACATGTCATAGTGGTCAATAAGGAAATATTATCACCTTTTGATTTTAATACTTTATGGCTTAATTCTCAATTTCCTAGTCTTTTATCAAACAATACAACAATACAATACAATAATAGTTTATTCAACATTAAACATTTTACAATGTTTTTAGTATACAGAGTATAATATACAAAGAGAACATGGTTTACAGAAGAGTACATGATTATCAATTATGATTAATACTTAATTGATAATATTTTACTTTTGATACAAGAAAAAAGACTGATCATTTAAATATAAACTACAAGAAAAAAGACTGGTCATTTAAATATAAATTGAATCAGCTACACAAGGTTTCTGTTTATACCTCCCGCGCGTAAAATGAGATTCTCGTGCGCGTGTAAATACTTAAAATACTTCTATCTAGTAGTAAACCAACTAAATACGGGAAAAAATCGTGAGTTAAACTAATTATAGATTGAACATGCTGTATGAACTTTTATTTACGCGTCGCGACTTAGATTCGCATAGTATATAAATTTAGCTACATTATAAATAGTTTTATTAGAACGTGATGATAATAGTAACTCAAGTTTCTTGATATTTGGCCAGTGACAGAAGTAAGGCTGAAAATATTTTTTTCTTAAATCACGATAAAAAGGACAAACTAGAAGAAAATGGTATTCCGATTCGATTTGATTCATATTACATAACCTACATAATCTATCTTCTCTTTGGATGTTATTATATCTTCCGGTTTCAATATTTAAGCTATGTGACGAAGTTCTAAACCTAGTTAATGCTATTCGGTATTTATTTTCGTAGATGATATTAAGGTATTTCTCAAGCTCGAATTCATGTTTATATATCGCGTATGAATTAAGTCGATTTGAATTATTAATTTCCCCATACCATGTTTGCATGTATGAATCATAAATTCTTTTCTTAATTTCATCGAAAGGAATGTCGATTTCAAATTGGTGATCCCAAATATAACTAAAACCATGGCTATCTAGTATAGTCTTGATTTGGTACGCCCAGTTATTTCGTGCGTCTATTAAAATCAGTGTCATTTTTAAGCATTAGAAATGTCTGTAAAATCAGTGAATTTGAGTTTTGCGATAATATTTTCATCCAGTATTTTAACATAGTAATCTTTCGCATAATTTCAAGGGGAAAACGCCCAGTTTCACCATATAGTGCCGATAGGTTGGTTGATCGTTTAACGCAAAGTATTCGTCGTAAAAATTTTGTGTGTACAACCTCTATCTCCCTGGCCTTATGGTGCCCCCAAATCTCAGATCCAAAGTTAAGAACTGAACCAACCAACGTGTCAAATAAGTAAAATTTCTTTGAAAAAGTAAATTCTGCGTTATTAAACAAACGAAACAAATTAAATAATGCTAACGATGCGTGTTGAGCAATACATTTTTGTGTCCTCGACCAATTGCCATTTTTAAAAAGAGTAATTCCTAAGTACTTAAAAGAGTCTACTATTTCAAGTTGTGTGTCATTAATATAAAAAGAAAATTTGTGGTTCTTCCCTTTTCAAAGATCATGACCTTGGTTTTTGACGTATTTATTTTCAAACCCCAGGTATTACAATAAACAACGACGTCATTTAACATTGACTGTATACTTTCAGGGGACATTGCAAACAGCACTTGATCATCTGCATATAGAATGAGAAATAATTTTTGTTCATTTAGACTAAATATATCATCTATGTCAGTGTTTATGTTTTGTATTATATCACTAACGAAGAGCATGAACAGCAGAGGCGAGCTCAGGTCTCCTTGCTTGAGACCAATATCACAATTGAAGAAATCGGAATATGTATTTTTAAACTTTACACATGATTTTACTACAGTATACATCGATTTGATAGCTCGAACAAATTTGGAACTGAGATTTGCAGCAACAAGTTTTTCATATAAAAAATATCTATCTATTTTATCAAAGCATTGTTGGTAATCTATAAAGGCGCAATATAGCTTTTTCCTAGAATTAAGTACCTTAAGATTAATAGAATGGAGAATAAATATACAATCAGTTATCGATTTACCCTTTTGAAAGCCAAATTGGTTTTTGGAAATTTTCTCATATTTGTTTGACCAGGAAGTTAACCTATTCAAAAGTAATTGTGAATAGGTTTTTGCTAAGGTATTAATAAGAGTAATGCCACGATAATTCTCAGCCTTATTTACATCTCCTTTTTGGGGGCGCAAGCCCCCAATGTAATTACGATAAATTCAGCTTACTACCTTATGAACGCGTTTAGGCTATCTAGCTGCGCTGAGCAAAAATAGTTCCAATATTTTGCCATAATATTCAGATCATCATAATACCTTATCTAATTTAAAATTGACTGGTCATTTTATTACTTAATTTTAAATCCTTTTATCACAAAATTACAAATACCATTGCTTTACGCGATTTGAATATTACTACGCTAGCAGTCGATAAAAATTTAATGAGAACCAGTTTATTTGTTCTACCTTCTGGTTCCCGATGCATGAGAGCCAAAGTACTTACAAAAATTTGGTGCCAATTTTATCAAGTCATAAATTAACTAACTATCATAGAACACAATAATTCAGGAAGATGGAATACGATTTTCAAATTAGATAACTTTCAACAGTTCAAGCTTAAAATGGTTAAAAAGTGTGAATGACAGAGTAAAAATTTGTATGCGTATGAATACGAACTATTTTCCCTCTGACGTCATTTTCCCGAAATCGCCATCTTGGTCAGTTATTCCGAGTAAAGGTTGAGAAGATCTGCTATCAATATAGGAAGTCACAGCTATTACGTTGATATATTGGTTGCAATCAATTCCGTATGTATAATCAAGTTTTCTTCACAATCTGGTAAAGCTATTGATACTGTACAATGTAAAATGTAATAATTGGTGAAAAATGATAGTTTTCAATTTTATGATCATGATTTTTGCAAGCGACTGGAGGTACTGCAGGGTTTTTTTCCAGGATTTTGGGAACATGACCCATACCCATGGAAATTGGAATTTCAGCGATGTTTTGTTAAAATTTGGGAAAAATTGCATGACTTAAATTTTGTAGTGATTAAATGAATGCAAAGAATAACTGTCTAGGAAGGCATCTTCAAACTATTAAACACCATAACAGTGAAGAAGTCCTTATTTTCTAAGATTTTAGAATTTGTTATTAAATATTTTTATTTTGTAACTTTCAATTGGGAATTTTTTCCTGTGGAATGGGAAAATAATATACTATTTTCGACTGGGAATATGACCGAATATCGGCTATAAAATAAGGCAAAAAAAATCCCTGTACTGCCCCAGACCTGTAATGAATAAAATCCTATCCTATGAGAGGTCCCAAAATTTAAAGGACTAGTATAATAATTATAATTGTTAAATACAATATGACCCCTGCAGGACAGGGCAGACCGTGAGACAGGGCGGACCGTACCAGGGCGGACTGTGACTTGAGACTAGGCGGACCGTATTTTGGGACATCAATAATTTAATACTTTTATTACATTAGTCCACATATAAATACTTTTTAAATCACGGTCCGCCTAATCTTGAGTCACAGTCCGCCCTGTCCGTAATTCAATATGACTTAAAATAAGATATACTTATTTCATACATGTAGATCTGATTTTCACAGTTTTGCCTTCATCAGATGTAGGATTTCATGATATTTATGGTCAGTCCATAATTTTATAGATTTTTTATTTGTAAATTTATAGACATTTATATCTGAAAAAAGTAGTTGTATTAAAATTCAAAACCACAGGTCGATAATAATAAGAATTAAGATAACTGATTATATTATTAAATGTAACAGATTCCAGATAATGTGAATATCGGCATATTTTACGCTTTAAAATCAACTAAAAAACGTACAAGGTTTACCGTTAACAATTTGTTGCGTTCATTTACGCACTCTGTAAATTAATTACGCAAAGAATGTGAATTTGAAGTGTTTTTGGTGTGTACTTTCATTTTCGAAACAGCTGATTGACCGCTTCCATTTAACAGTTGAACTGTGTATCTATTTCCAATTAATACCTGTCAAGATACTTTCAACTATTTTTCTCTGTAAACCAGTCAAATTACGTCTTTATTGCTTACGTGCTTGATAAAATAATTGTTCTATTTTCTTGATAATTGTAAGGATTTATTAATACACATGTTGTGCATGGTTGCTTCAAGGGCTAATCAAATTGACATTTTTTTCACACAACTCTGTTGCCGGGGAAACTTGATAAACTTACTTCATAACCTCAGATCCCCTTTCAAAATTCCATTTTATTTAGTTCCGCCCATTGTTTTCTCGTTTAGGGCACACGCATTTTTTTACTTGGGGACCATATGCCGCTTTTCATGGAATGGCACTAACGTGTCACATTGAAGGTTCCATGATAACCGCCATATGAACACATCTGCGGATGTTTCAAAATTCTAAATTTTACCAGTTCATGTTAAATGTTGAATTCTGCTTAAGCCGGTGCTAGGGGGCGTGGACGGTAACTTGCACTTTCCAGTACCGTCCATGAACAGGCTCAATCAAACCGAGCCTGCAACATTTTCAATATTGCCGTGTTGGGCTTTCTTTAGGGATTCTGTATTTATCTATTTCATTACCTTTGTTGATATAAACAATCAATAAAAACAACTTGTCTTTAGCAGCGGAATTTTATATACATCATATTAAGTCATCATTACTTTTATTGTTTAACATCTATTTGATTATTATACTAATAGTATTCATGGAATTGGTAGAGGAATAGGCAGTGGCTAGCAGTATGAACCAGTATTGGCTGTATGCGAGTCAAATACGACTAGCATATACTCACTGTTGAGGCTAGCTGTACAGCATTTTAAAAATGAGTTGCCTAAAACAATAATATGCAAACTTGTTTTTCTAAAAGAAGATTTTATTGAATATCATATACAATTTCAGTCAATGCGAAAGTAAAAAAAAATTCCACCCGCAAGGACTGGTATCCTTAGACTGATGATTTTTCCCACGCCCGGACTCTGACAGGGTTTTTTTGTAGGTATGGGGGAGGGATATTGCCATAATTATAAAGAAAAATATTTAGCATATATGAATTATCAGACTCAACTATAAGATACTAAAGAAAAAAATATACAGAAACATAATTGATAAAACATTAGTATAATTCACAAGAAAACAATACACAATCGCAACTACTCGGCCCTTTCCGTCAGTCTTCGGATAAGGACCTCGAACACAATAGTATGAATACACAGAACGGATGCGGTATTTCGGTCTAACCTACGCTAAGAAAATAAACATGTAAACAAAAAGTAATTTAATGCTGGGCGTTGTTTACAAGTTTATTTCCAATATATGTAGTAAACGATCACCTTAAATGAGTGATATTATAGGTACAAAAGCAAACAATTCATTATTTATATATTTATTATTATGGTTGTAGAAACCGAAAGTACAAAAACCCAACCTGTTGACATTTCGTCGGATTTGTTTAAAATTGAACATCAATAGGCATATCTAAATTACAAATTGTTGTCAGACAAATTTTCAAGCAAAAGAGTACCGGAACAGGCATTAGATGTCAAATATATACATTCGATTTACATTATCTCTGTTTCTGTTTACATCTGAAACCACGTGGTAGAACTACTTTCAATCCGTATTGTTTCCGAGGTTAATATTGTAGATAATAGCCGAGGCAGTTCCGAATGAACAATACATGTACATCTTTCAAAGGTTTAATTTTGAAGATTGGAGAAAAAATATGTTTTGGTAAAGAAATTAAACCGAGACAAGATGGTGGCTTACATTACTTAGCAAAAACTGGTCGTATCCTGCGGTGATTTTGGTTATCTTGGTCTGTGAATACAAGCAAAAATTAAAAAGATAGATCGATCTTTGAAGCTTTGCATATTTCAGAAGGCCAAAAATTGTTTCAAACTGGCTGAAATTTTATTCCGACATGACAACTGACTGTATCGAAATTTATGTCGACCCTACAGATTTTTAGTTGGCGAGGTCCGAGGACCGACAGCCTTTCGCACAGACTGCAATTTACAGTTGGTATAGTAATTTGTAGTGTTTGATGATCAAAAGATTTTTTTTCCTTCTGAAAATCATGGAGTTGAATAATTTAAATCTGTGTGAAAGCGCAAAGAGAAAGAGACTGAAAATTAATTTATTATATTTTTATGGACATTATTATATAGATACATTTGTAATCAAACATGTGGGTCAATTTCCAACAGTAGTTGAATTATGACAAAGTATTTTTAATAATTTTATTTCACTTTTAGCTACTTGAAAATTTCATGCTGGATGTTTGCTTACCATTACATTTTGCATAAGAGCTCTATGATTGACATTAAAGTCCACGGGCCAATTCATTTCTCATATATCTTTCCGATATCTTGTTATAATATAAAAGGCTGAACGTCATCGTAGAATTATTAGGAAAAAATATATATGTTCATTCTTTGTAAAAATGTTAGAAGACTTGCAAGTTACCAATTTTATCATTGCATTTATTTATTATTGAAAAAATGCTGAACGGCTATCCTCAACAGTGTGTATAGGCTAGAACTTTCAGTTTGCATTTAGGGTCAAAATATATTGTTACAGTCATGACAGCTTTCCCGTTGCTGTCAACAAACTTTAACCTTTCATAACTTTTCAGATCTTGGTGTATTGTCTTCATACTTGGCCACAACAACCCTTCAAATAGACCAGACTAAACTTGACCTCCATATAAACATTCAAGGTAAAATATTTAAATTTTCCTGATTTTTGCTATTAGTGGCTATGACTTTGTTATTTTTGAATGGATTGTCTTCAAACTTGTACGCAACAATCTTTCAGGATAGGACCTGATTCACTCATTAATGTCCTTGAAGCTTTTGTGATCAGAAGTTGTGTAGAATAATACAAATACAGAACAATTTCATTTACTTGGTTTTGCAATTTCTGAGACAATGGATTTTAAAGATAGTTGTTTTCTTAAAATTTAAGGACAGTATAGTAGATTGAAAAGACATTTAGTACATACTGTATATACACTATAACTACTATAGTATACTATAAAAATCTTTGTTCTTGGACAATTTTGAACAAATTGTTTCTTAAACAGTGTAAGAAATTAGGATTTGAATCGACTAGCCTGGTCGGACTACCAGATTGGAATATTAACTAGCCCAAAAGACATTTCTCTGGCACGATTAATTTGTTCAAAACAGTTGTTTATATTGCCTCTTAAAATACAGTGGCTTGGTCAGGCCTGTTACTGTGAAAAGTTGGTAGCCCGAGGAGAAATTTAGTATTCAGGGGCTATAGGACTACTGCTAATTTCTAACACTGCTTAAATTATTGATTTGACTATTGATTTCAACTAACATAATTATTGGGATACTATATGTATATCTAATAATAATTATATTTTATCTTTCCAACTTTCTGTTTCAGATGGTCGGCCTACATGTCAGATTTGTAAATGTGAACGGCACGATATTGATTTTAAGGATGCTTTAGGGTCAATGAGGATGAAATAAAATGTGAGACTGTCAATCTGACAAACCTTGCAGTGAATAAATGGTAAAATGTTTCTTTCAGTAGCATGGCATTTAAGGAAGCGGTACATGATAATTTAGAAGTGGTTGTATATGATATTTCTTAATTATTATATTCTAATAGCTTTTATTTCTTGACTTGTTTAAAGGCTGACACAGGATAGTTTATTTTAAGTCAGTGAGCTTCTGTCACTGGATAGACTATTGTCACAAAAATCCAAATTTATAAAAAGGAATTACAGTGAATTTAAATATCATCTTATAGAATAGAAATTAGGAACAAAATTAATAACAAGAACAATTGTGACATGTAACATGTATTTAGGAATTCAGCTTTCCTTTCCTTTTCACCTCAGAAGAATTCACATTAATTTAAAATAATGAATATTCACAATAAGCACTCCGACATATCTGACATATATGATTTCACTTAGCTGTCTATAGCTTATCAGAATCACTCACATTTATAAATTTAAATGATTTTGAAAAAATTGCTGCTTAGCAAATAGATAAAATACTTGGGGTGTCTGTGGCGATTGGTTGACTTTAAACCTTTAAGCCTTTCACTGCTGTAGGTTCGTGCTCTGCAAGTGTTTACGGATCATTTCATGTGAGAAAGCTATCTAGCTCATTTATGGAACATTGATGGTACCCAGGTGCCTGAAATCATACACATAGGTGCACCAAGGTCTTCATCAAGCAGTAAAGCTGGAAATTGTGCTTTAAATTGCCCCCACCCCCCTCCCCGAAAAAAAAAACAACAAAAATAATGGAATTTTTATTTTGCTGTAAACTTTTTCTAAACAAATATTTCAGGAAACAGTGGCGTTTGTATGATAGAACAGTAATAGCAGGAGTGATAAGGACAGATGCATGTAGATGTGTCTTCATGTCGGAAACACTAGAGAAATTGACACATTTGGGTTTTTCAAAACTTAAAGAAATTGGAATACCAGGAGACTGCTTGCCATTTGCAATGTTGGAATGTGTGATGTCGAAAGCCTCATGAATATAGTAACTTGACTTAATCTAATAAGAAAAAGAAAAGACATTGAGGAGAAAACTAGTCACCAGTCTTTCACCAAGAACATGAGATAACTTTCCAATATTTGAAATATTATAATATGTATAGAACTTGAATGAGTGACATAATATGTATTGATATTGAATGAGCGACCAGTTTTTCACCAGGAAAATAAGATCACTTATCTATTTTTGAAATATGTATGAACAGAACTCTATCAACTTCAAGGTGAGAGTTTATCATGAAGAACATGAGATAACTTGTGTATGAACAGAACCACATTTGAATATAGAGGCGCCAGTTCATCACCAAGAAGATGAGCTAACTTATCAATGTTTGAAATCTGTTATACCCCTGCACAACAAAGTTGTAAGGGGGCTATACTGGAATCAGCTTGTCCGGCCGTCGGGCGTCCGTCGCTTTTTTCATGTCCGTCCATAAAATTAAGATTCCTTTGACCCACAGTCTTCATATTTGGCATGGAGGTAAGTCATGATTAGTAGATGACCTCCATTAATTTTGAGAACACCAAGTCAAAGGTCAAGGTCACAGGGGTCTTGACTGAAGAAAGCTTTTCTGCCCAATAACTTAAGAATCCTTCGACCCACAGTCTTCATATTTGGCATGGAGGTTAGTCATGATTAGTAGATGACCCCTATTTATTTTCAGGTCTAAGGTCATGGTCACAGGGGCCTTGGCTAATTAAAGCTTGTCCGCCCAATTACCTAAGAATCCTTAGACCCATAGTCTTAATATTTGGCATGGAGGTTAGTCAAGATTAGTAGAATACCCCTATTGATTTTGAGGTTACTGGGGCAAAGGTCAAGGTCACAGGGGCTTTTATTACAATAAGCTTGTCTGCTCAAATGGTCTCATATATTCATCATAAAACACCTCCAGGCAAGGCTGCATGAAATGGGGGGGGGGTGTTATTGAAGTCATTCAATGGCAGTTTTAGTTTTGAGGTCAGTAGGTCCAAGGTAAAGTTCACTTTGATCTTTTCTACTAAAACATGTAGAATATATAACTTAGCAATGCACTGGCTTACTTCCCTCAGATTTGGCTGAGCTGTAAATGACTACTGTTGATTCTGACAAATTGGTATGTGGGGGTATTCACGCCATGACAATGACAGTTCTAGTTTGTACAGAAAATATCAAGATGCAAGTTTCTTTTATTAAGAATAGACTTATTGATTAGATAACTTACAATATTTACAAACATTTATAATACCACACCCATTTAAAGTATTTCAGCTGAGAGTGTATTATCCAAAATACATGTATTGTTATAATGTACTTTATAGTATATTTATTGATATATTTATTGTAAATTTTGATTCTACTAAATTTTAAAAACATTTAGATTTTACTAGATCTTGAAAATATTTTGTTCCATGCTCTTTCATTTAATTTTGAATAATGAATCCAATAAATACCCATAATAAGTATAGGATTAAAATTGATAATGTTTTCTATCTTTAACTTATATAAAAAAGTAATGTTTAAACTGCTGGTTAGATTTCAAACAGGGGTGACCGTGTACAGTGCCATCCTTAATTGTGCACATTGTTGGCATGTTCTCATTGTCGGATACCCATGGCCGAACCATTAATATTCATCATTGATTGCATGTTATGTGACATGTTTATCAATTGTGGGTATCCAACGATGGCAGCCATGTCCTGTTTCTCTGCACAAAATGGCCGAAGAGTTAAAAAAAGAAAAATCTATCACATGTACAACTGCCAAAATTCAAAAGAGTGATCAGAACCATACACAGTTTTGGGAGACATGTTTTTGTGACAAAAGCCCTTCAAGTTCATATATGACCTTGACCTTTATTTGATATAAAATATCTTTGGAGTTAGCTGGAATTGTCATTACTTTGTTATTTTTTACAGATTTGAATCATGCTTGAACAAACAAACACAGAACCAACATGTTGAATTTTTCTGATATATTTTGACCTTTAAATGACCATTACCTCCAAGGTTAAACAATTGAAATTCACTCACATTGTCATAACTTTGTTTTTGTCTATGATTTGATTCATTCTTGGACAAAAGAACAATTATCATTCAACTATGACCTTTACTATTCAAATTTGAAATTTACTTTATACATTTATATTATGTTTTCTAGGAGTACTCTAATAGATATTACAATATTCTCCTACTGATGTGTTTGACTTTCAATATAAGAAAAAGCCAAGCATGGCCCAAGCTAGATAGTGGCTCTTGTTTTCAATGCCAATTTGATTATATGTATCCATTCCAATTTACATTCTCACATGTATTATCTATTGTGCTTGAAAGGTTTCTACAAAAAAAAAAGTTTGTTCTTACAGTCCTGGTTTTATTTTATAAATATTTTATAGACAGTTAAATTTTCTGTTTATTTTCTATCTGCATAATCATTTCTTGGAATAAATATAGTAAGTACACTGATTTATGTGTTATATATTCACATAAGGAAGTACTTTACATGAAAATTGGTTAAGCAACTATAGTTTCCCAACAAAATCCAATGTCATAATTTAAAATGTTTATTCATGATATATATGATATCAATTATGCATTTTGCCTGGGTTTGTTAGTATGTTCTTGGTACATGATTTTCAATTTTGACAAGATTTTGGAAGCGATACTATAATATTGTGTACAAAATGGGCACTTATTCAACTTTGAAAGAAGAATGATATCAGATTGGAACACCTAAAGTAGATTGCTATACAAATCTCGAATTTAGCACATATTGCGCCCCCATCAGTGCTTTCAGCACTTTGATTTAAATATGGGGGCGATTATTCCTTCACCCTAACTTACTGGATATTCCCCTGTATTAAATAATTTGTTATACAGGTTTAATAAAAAGGGGGAAATAATATCATATGAGGTTTTTAGCATTTCGCTAGTAATCTGATCACTGCCTGGCGATTTATTATTTTTCTGCAAAAAAATGGCAGTCCGTAACTCTGTTTCTGTAAAATTTATATCAATTTCCGGAATTTCGGAACAGACGAAGACATTACCACTCATATCTTTTGAGCTGGTTTCCCCAAAAAGTGTTTTAAAATGATCACGTAGGTCATTAATATTAAGAGATTCTGGGTTGTCTATGACATTCTTATTTATTTTTTTCAGGGTTTTCCAGAAATTTCTAGGATTTTTCTTTGCTAGATCTTCTAGTCTTTTGCCCTCGTTAATTTTGAATTTCCGTTTCGCGATTTTTTTAACTTTATTATATTTTGTTCGCGCGTGCACATAGTTCCGTCTGATATCATCATTATCTCTGTTACGCAACAAGCCATACTTGATTATCTTTTGACATTTATTGCTAATATAGCTTAAGGCTTAATCACTATGACAACTCTTTCTTAATTTATATTGTTGCTTTTATATTTTAAATTAGTCTTATCTTGAAACTGGAACTTACATCGTCTAACAGTCTTATTTTAATTCCGAAACTAACAACATCTATAGTATTTTGAACTTACAACTTAAGAAAATTCAGGTGTTAGCTGTATTGTGTGTGATATTTGTGGACATTATTATAAACTATTTCATATTTGGAAAAAGTATTCCATCACAGTGAAAAATTAAATAGAATTTACTTGAAACTGGACATTGTGTTGTGTTATTAAATAAGTCATCTTAACAAAGAGGATACTGGATATCACGGTTAAGAGAAATAAAATAATACACCAGTATCCCACACCCAACCAACCGAGGGTTTCCGAGTAGGGCGCTCACTACGCCAGCGAGTTCGATTCCCCACAAGACCCGAAAGTGAAGGCCCTACCGGTGACCCTTGGCTACAATAGCATGAACGGAAATTGACCATTGACCTTTTAAGGTGAATTCAATATCAAAGGAAATTGCACAATTTATCCAATAAATAGCATGATTTTTATGACCTCTGTATTAAAGACTTTTTTATGTATTGATAATTAAAATCAAGCTTTTCTGTCTTGAAGTTAAGTCCTTTTATGCATATCAGTCTTAAGGCCACTTCTTTTTTGTGCCCCCACGTTAGTGGCGGGCATTTAGATTTACCCTTGTCTGTCCGTCCTTCCGTCCGTCCGTCTGTCCGTCCGTCCTTCCGTCCGTCCGTTCACTTTTGTGTCGCACGTAACTCAAAAAGTATTTGACCTAGAGTCATGAAACTTTACAGGAATGTTGATCAGCATGTGTAGTTGTGCCCCTGGGTATTTTGGTCGGGATTTATCCAGTATTTTTAGAGTTATTGCCCTTCACGTAGAAAATTTTTGCAATTTTCAACTTGTGTCGCAAGTTTCTCAAAAAGGATTTGACATACTATTATGATACTAAGTCAATAAACCTTATGGGCAGGTTGCACAGCATATTTTAGATTTGCACCTGGGGTTTGGCTTGTGGATTTATCCAGTATTTGTAGAGTTATTTCCCTTGACTTAGTAAAAAGATTGACAGAACAGTGTCGCGGGGGGGCACCCGTGTTCTATGGACACATTTCTAGTTTTTTCTTGGTTTACAAATTTTTTTTTCAAAAATGTCCACTGGGTGGTCGAAAAAAAAAAAAAAAAAAAAAACCTCAAAAAGGTCCATCGGGTAAATTGTAAAAAAAAATAAAATCTTGTATGGTGCACATAAAACACTATTTTGTCAAAAAAAGTGTCATTCTTCTATTGACATAAGCAAAAACAGTAATTTAAACATCTTTTTATTGTTGTTTTTCCTTAGTATAGCTTTCATGTTAACTTTCTTGATACAAATGTACCAAAAATATCTGCCATCTTTAGAAAATAAAAATATAAACATTTATATCTGTATTGTCTCATTTTTTCTTGGCATTCACTTTCAACTGATTTCTGGTTTTGGAGTTTTGCCAGCTGTAATACAATCCTGGCAATCCGGTCCCGGCTGAGCATTTCGACGAAAAGAAAAATACAATTTAACAATATACTAGCAAATATATCATAAATCAAACCATTAAATCTTCTCGAGGAAGGATACGGCTTATAGCAGTGCTGATGTCCTCATCAACGGCAGCCTTTAAAAAAGCCCGTCTGGTTGGCAAATCTTTAATTCCAACAAAATCAACTTGGAAATAAACAGTGCCACTCAAGGGTGCCGCCATTGTTGTTTTACCATGAACTGTGGTAGTTATCCGAGGTAGTCCGAATGTTGTGTTATATAGATTCGTACTCAAAAATATTCGAATTTTCGTACTTATATTTATCGCGCTTATTGGATAATTTTTTTTTGCATCGGGGGAAAAAAAAGTGGAAATTTCAGTTTTATTTTTTTTCCAATTTACAAATATTTCGGGTCGCCGGTTTTGTAAACCAAGAAATATAAAAGAAGTGGCCTAAACTTTTTTGAATATTTACAAAAAAGATTTCTTTGTATATGAATATGAATGAAGACAATAACTTTATTGTCATTTTGTTAATTTACATGGATTGTTGCCAACTGTAAATTAATTCCTTTGCCCTTAACTTTTAAATGCCATTTCAAAATTTGCATGAAAAAAGTTTGAATCTGGAGGCATGCTGATATGGAATACTGACAATGTTTGATTTTTTATGTTCACATTTATGTACATGTTACACATTCATATAAAGATGGAATTCCAGCCTTAATTTATGATAAAAAATTGTGCTCTTTTGTAATAGGTTGATATATAAGTTGACAGAGTGTCCTTGAAATATAATGTTGTATAGAGTACACAGGTGTTTATGTTATAAAAATGTTGCTTTTCTTTGTCCAAGTTTTTCAGAGTCATCATATTTTTTTTAATTTGTAAACAGGGAAATTAATTATCTTGAAAAAGGAGTTATTTCTGTACCAATTAAATAAATAAATTTCTGAATAAGGAAATGGTTCACAATGGTGAAGAACAGTTCAGTTTGATTGAAAATTATATATTGATTTATTAATTAATTAAGTATTTAATTGATTGTTTAAGTAATTGATGGATTGATTGATTGATTAATTAATAGCAGTTTGATTGAACAATACTAATGGATGGCAGTTGTGTAATGCAGCATGCAACCAAAATAATAATTTTGTGGTATCAGCTAGACATGGACACTAATCCATCATTGGTGCTTCTTTTGTGCCATTTATAGAAACCATATAACTCCGAAAATAAGAGGTGAATGAAAGATTAGTTAGATGAATTTTATAAAATGTTAATAACCATTACACTTTCAACCTTTATTTTAGACAACAGTGGAAGTCTTGTTATTATCTATGCAAGCTTACATGATTTTAATTAGGATTTATTATGCTCACGAAAGGGTGAGCATATAGTTGCCACTTTGTCTGTTTGTCTGTCTGTCCATCCGTTTTTTTGTCTGGGATGTAACTCTGAAACAACAAGAGGTATCAGCATGAAACTTTGTAGGTAGATAGATCTCATTTAGTAGATGTGCAGTACAAAAAAACCTGTTAATCTATCTGGCCTAATTGTGGAGTTATTGCCCTTTGTTCATTTTTATACTTTGAACTTTGTCAGGGACATAACTCTCAAACTATAAGATATATCATCATAAAACTTTGTAGGTAGCTAGATCTCTTTGGGTAGATTGCAGTGCAAGATTTGAACTTTGTCCGGGACATAACTCTAAAACTATAAGAGATATCAACATGAAATTTTGTAGGTAGATTGATTTCATTGGGTAGATGTGCAGTGCAAAAACAACATAACTCTGCCTTGCATTATGTTGGAGTTATTGTCCTTTGTTCATTTTTACACTTTGAACTTTAGATAGATCGAGCAGTGCAAAGATCAGTAACTCTGCCTTGCCTATGTTTGGAATTATTGCACTTAGCATCACCCAGTTCAACCGGCTCTTGTTTTTTAATATTTATTTTCCTAACACAACTTCTTGTTACCATGGTATAATTATGACCATATTGGCACAAAAAGGAGATAAAATGATGTATTAGCTCCAAACAAACTTTCCTTGACAAAATATATCATTCACCATTGATGTTGAAATAGGAAATCAAAGCAGATATTGCCACTTTGCAATTGTATATATAGTGGGACATTTAGGATCATAGAAAAACCACTATGTCTGTATGCATGAATCATGAAACTGTCTGTGATAATGGTGTTTTAATGTAATTTGAGTATCGTTTATGTCTCGTTGATATCTGCTGCCATAGTTTTAAGTGTTTTATTTGTTTTTCTCTATTGCTAGTTTCTGTGCTGAATTAAGTAAGCCTCATGTCTCAAGTATACTTTGACTCAGCTATGACCAGGCCGGTCAGTCCACACAAAATGTTTAGTTTGACCAGTTGGATTGTCAGGTTTAGCTTTTAGTTATTGGC